TATATATATAGTATATACCAGTGGCAGATGCTGGTCTGTCAAAGAGGGGAAGCTCAATTTTGGCCGACATCATAAATTGTGTCCGTTTATTTGTTCGTGAATTCTACTCTCCATTCCTTTTCAAAAAAATGATCTGTGACCCTGTCATACCAACAAGGCGTCTTTTCCAGGGACTTAATTAGTGTCCTACAACTACAGGAACTACAATAAAACCCACCAGAAATAAAATATTAATTTTTCCCTAGTTGTTTACAACAAAGAGTGTCGCTAAAATGATTAGGAGAAGTCTCCAGCTCAACTCAGAACAGAATGCGAATTGAAAAATTGCTCACACGGATGTCTACACTAAAAGGTCGGTGATTGGCTCATTTCGATGTCAATCAAACTGGCACACAAGCTCAGACAGATCATCCAATCTGATGCAGAAAAGCCTGGCGTCCGGTACCCTCCCACTGCCATCCAGTCCCAGAGACGCCGAGCGTCAGTGGGCGGGACAAAAACCAGCTTGTATCCAATGACACGTCTCCGTTAAACGCATTGGGACAACCTACCCTGAACTATCGAGACGCTCGGCGTCCGGGCAGTAGACGCTCTCCGGACGCTCAGCGTCCACCGTTGAAAGCACAGTGAAGCTGCAGGAATGAATGAGAAGGGAGTCGCGTCGTAACCACTAAGAAGAAGCTGATTCGGAACAAAAGTTGAGCAAGTTGTAGTGCATATTTAGTCAATGGCATGTACACACAATGACATTGACATTCATATATTTGATCACTTATTCTTTGACATTTTAGGGGAAGCCGAGCGTCCCTTGTAGTCCGAGAGCAATCGCCACTGGTATATACAGAATACGAGCGGGAATGAGTTCCGTATTCACAAGTCTAGATGTCGTCATTCAAACCTCTTTTCTTAATTTTTGAAACAGAATCTAAGTGTAACCAGGTGAACCATACTTAGACTTTTGTAGTGAAGGCTGCCTTTTTTTAACAAATGTAGCACTGTCACTTTAAGAGCACGCTTGATAAAAACACGCGGGAACATATAGCGCAAGCGAAAATTAGACCAGGAAGTGAGGGGAGGTTCACATGTGAAGGAAGATAGTCACTGAACTGTGTATGCTCGTGATGGGAATTCCGGCTCTTTTTAGAGAGCCGGTTGTTTTGGCTCGGCTCACTAAAAAGAGCCGGCTCTTTCGGTTCCCAAATGGCTCCTCAGTTTTTTTGTTGCTTAAATTAATTTACTATCAAAAATAATGTAAAATTATGTGTAAAATGAATTACGAATGTAAAAAATATACAGTATATCAAATATTTATTTTTTATATGGCTTGATTTATATTCTTCTGAACATACACAACATGGAGTGCTACAAAAAATAAATGACAAAGTACAAGAACAAAGACCCATCTCAAAACAAGGTCTACAAAAAGTTCCAATCTCTGATTGTGTATATTTATAAGCTTTTAACTATTTACAGTAAAACAACATAAGTAAGCTTTGATTACCACACAACAAATTATTAATTAAAATTTAATATTGGATATTTTAACCTTGCACAGTCTTCACGCTGCCTTTGAACTATCAATTAAGTTGAAACGAGTCCAAATTTCACTGCGTTTCCGATCCATTTTCTCCCTTTCCACTTTACACCGTGTTTTTTCTCTGTAGCCCTATCGAGCTCTCTCTCGTCTCCCTGTCTCTCCTGTTCGTGTGCTGCTCACAGTGTGCTGCTGTTGTGTGTCTCTAACTCCTCCCCCTTCTCTTCACTGCAGCGTGTGTGTGTGTGTGTGTGTGTGTGTGTGTGTGTGTGTGTGTGTGTGTGTGTGTGTGTGTGTGTGTGTGTGTGTGTGACCCTCCCCTCCCTATTCTACCACGGACCTTAACCAATCAAGTGCGGCTTTCACCGAAGGAGGGAAAAAAACAGGAGAAAAAAAAAGTCGGCTCCTATTAGGACCGGCTCCCTATTGGGAGCCGGCTCTCGTCGTTCACTTCAAAGAGCCGGCTCTAAGAGCTGGTTCGTTTGCGAACGACACATCACTCGTGTCTGCCGGTAGTCCCCACTTGATACACCCATGATCGTCGTTGTAACCCTGGCGATATTCAGTGCAAAATATCGTGGTTTGGAGTTTGAAACCTGCCGCTAGTGAGTCGTGTGAACAGCTGTATAGCTTAAGTCATAGGTGTCAAACTCAGGTCCTGGAGGGCCGCTGTCCTGCATGTTTTCCAAGTTTCCCTGTTGCCACACACCTGATTCAAATGATCATATCATCAGCAAGCTCTGCGGAAGCCTGACATTGAATCTGTTCATTTGAATCAGGTGTGCTGCAACAGGGAGACTTGGAAAACATGCAGGACAGCGGCCCTCCAGGACCTGAGTTTGACACCTATTTCCACGTGTTTTGTATGCACCCAACGTAAATATGTTTTTTTGACTGTGAAATGAGATGAACTGTGTATCTGTTCTTTAGAGGGGAGATCATTTGTGTTTTTCCACGTGTTTTGTATGCACCCAACATGCCGGAAAGTGTCGAGTAAGTGTGTCCTCTCATCACATTGGATTGTAATGATTAGTCGGCCTGCACTTTTAAGTTTCATGGATTGTTGTGGCTTGGATAAAATGTATTTTTATTTCTCTTTCCTTATCAAGCAAGCCACTGCTGTTGTTTATTGTGGTATGATTGTCTTTAATCTGTTAGATAATTTTCTTTGATCTCTTAGATCCTTTTTCAACCTCTTTTAAAATTCACTTTACATCTCAGTCTTTCATCTTAATGCTGTACAATATTTTATTGTTCAGTCGGGAATAAAGCCCACATAAAAATTATTTGGTGTTCAGTCCAGTCTTTCCAAAGACCCGGCTACATAAGCAATATTTGAATTCTATTATGGTTTCCAAAAACAAGAAAACTGTTAAAACTCTTACTTTATGCTCTTTATTTGGAATTTTTGTTTGAAATCCCCTGGCTATTCTTTTTGTTTATCTGTTAAGGTTGTATGATTGCCTTTTTGCAAATGAGCCAGCAGAGGGGAATGTAACTGTATTCTGCATTATTCGTGGTGAATGACGTAGTAAGCCATGTAAAAGGCACGCTGTTTTTCATTTCTCTCTCTGCCTGTTCAAATAAATACGCCGAGGTATGTCTGAAAAAAACACCCCATCATGTCATTCTTGGGATGTTCGGCAGAAGGATGTCAGTCGACACGCGCTGTGAAGTAACCATGCTAAGATTTTCTCTCTTCACACTGTGTATGTATTAATAATTTGTTCGTTTAGTTTTCTGTGATTTGTAATTTGACTTGTTCAATAAAGAATGTTGTTAAAAAAAAGTGAAGCGGGAATGAGAACGGTGCAAATCCTGGAATCGTGAACTCAAGCATCGCGAGTGTTCCCACGTGAAGGCACGTCGTCGATCTGTGTGTCCGTTTTGTATAAATGTGTTTACGAACGCGCAAATGGGATTGTCCTTTACGAACGCGCAACGGGGATTGTCCTGGATTACGTATATACAGGTATTTTGGCATCGTGTAGGCGCCGTAGTTATTGAGCAAAGATGGCCGATCTTCTGCGCATGCGCGCTTCCCATTCTTCAGGCGGCGCAGATCGTGCTTCCCGGCGAAGAGAGAAATTTACATCTCGTGTTCGGTTTGCATTGTTTTTTTTTCTTCAATAATTTTAGCGACGTGTTTAATCTCGGTTTTCCAATTCGTTGGTTGTTGAAGCAAGAACATGAACATCGCATTGTCTCAAAATATCGTGTGGGTGGATCTTGAGGCAAGTCACAACAGTCTATTCAGTCAACTTCTCAAAGACCAGTGAAGTGGTTAACCGCTGCTGATCCTGCATTCCATCACTTTAGCGAGCGGCATTATGCGATCTAACAATATTATCATTATTATTTCAATATTGTGTGTTGTTGAGTGTCAGTGGACGTTGAAGCCAGAGGTTCCTAATCATACCGTGTATATTTGGACATAGGAGGAAAAAAACTTGGACACGTTACCGAGCATCATTTGTTATTATTGTGTATGTCTCATGGGATGAAGAGCAAAAGGCTTTGGAACTCTTGTAGTGGAGCGTGACTGATTTCAGACGTCAGACTAAGGAACTGCAGCAAGTAAACATTTCCAGGGTGGGGACTCTCAGGGTTGATACATATTTATAATTTTACTTACGTGGTCCCTATCAGTGGAGATTTGACAATTGGTTTCGAGACCTAGCTCATAACTCGTGATGGGCCAAATGAAGCACAGCGTGTCTCAAAAGTGGGCGTGTGCCAAGTGAAGCTCCCATTCGGACTGTGTATCCGATACACAGGGGGGTCCAAACTTTTTCGTTTGAGGGCCGCATCCAGAAAAACGGAAGGGTGAAAGGGCCACTTAAAAATTCTCCAACTTTTTGAAACACACGAAAGTCAGTCAAGAAAGCAATTATATGTCGTTTGTATTGTCCAGTTCATGTCATCTGCTTTCTATTAAAGATGTTAGAGCAAATAGTTGTTTTTAAAAAAAGTTTTGAGCGGAGCCAACATCTATCTCACAGAGTAGATCCAGCTTTGCACTTCAGATCATCTGAATCCCATCTCCACATTCATAACCCCCCCTCCCCCAAAAAGAGCAAACTTGTCTTCATAAATCAGGCACAGAGCACCAAGTGGAAGAAATTGTTTTTGCCTCTAAAATTGAATTATCTGTATTCACTACAGTGTTTTGAAGATAAATTGTGTCATTTTATCATAAATGATGGTTTATTTGTATCTTCGAATGTAGAGAAAATGTTTACAGTACATAAACACATTTATGAGTAGTAATGGCACCTATTAAAGCCATGTGCAAACCAGTTGGCTGGAAAGCCTCACTAATTCATGAAGCTTAAATTCACTTTAATGGGACATTCATAATACTGAAAAGCATTTCAAGCTTTCATCTGCTGTACTTGACATTGTACAGCAGGTGTCAGTATAGAGCTAATATGAACGAAGCATTGAGGAAAGAACCTTAAGATGAAGCGAACCCCAGTGGTTCAGGAGGCTTTTTACCCATCAATACTATGAACTCGAATCATTTGGATCCGAAATCATGAAATGAATGAAAAAGCTAAATGAAGGAGAAAAATAGCACATCATAGTACCGTAATGTATAAAAACATACCTTAATGACAAATAAAATTCAAAACAACCAACCCCCCCCCCCCCCCCCCCCCCCCCCC